AGGAACATAACCACAAGGGTAATATTCAGAATTTACAACATGAATAACAATAATATATGACCCATATACCACAAGGATAATATGTAATTTTGTCACAAGTTGGTGTCTCTAGCTAGTACTATTGTAGATTTCAAATCTTATTTGAAATTTGAGAAATCTCAACTTAATGATACAAATTAGTTTTGTTTCTTATTGAAAAAACCAAAAAAGTAATGATTTAAGTTAATAGTTAAGGCTTCTAATTTTAGTGTTATAGGGTACCATATGATGCCAGACTGAGAAAATCTTCACATATTCGATGAACCAAAAGAATCCCTAATCCCTGTCCATGTATGGTCCTTAGAAAACATCTAAAGAGAGGGGGTGACAAATATGAAGAACAAGAATCAAGACTTTTGCATTATGAGGTCAATAAAGAGAAACCCACCACACTACACACACTCATGATTCCACAAAAGATGAATAGAAAAACAATAAAAATGAATTTTCTTAGCAAAACCAGACAAAACTCCCACATAGAATAACACAAAACAGCATTAATGTAGTGCCATTTTAAGAGGTATAGTCAAAACTAAAGACGTTTCTTTTATTTTTCCTTTCATCATCACTCATAAAGTAAGCCAAAGCATAAAGCAATTCAAGCACACACAATCTAAAAGACAATCTAAAACATTCTTTCTTCCACTCAGAGCAGCTGCAGACAAAGAAGGTGAACACTTTCTCCCTTTCTCCTTCTCTTTCTCTCTCTCTCTCTCTCTCTCTCTGAAGTCATCAGCTTCCTTTCTCCCCTTTTTCTCTCTTCTGAATTCATGGACACTGCTCAATGGCCGCAGGTTGGTGGATTTATAATTCGTCTCTACTCCTTTTCCTTTCTTTATTGTGCATTAATTCTCTGAGCCAAATTTTTTTTAATCTAGGTCAAGCATAGATCAAGCTCCAAAGTTTTTGAAACAAAATTACTGTGGGGTATTTTCTTTTCATCTGTTACTTGTAGCTATCTGAGATTATGTTCATCAGGGCAACTGAAAGTTACCTGGATTTCATTTGTTCAAGGAAAAAAGGTTATTTTGTTCTTTATACATGAAAGCTCAACTTTTTTCTTTCTTCACATGTGATAACTGATAAAGGGGGGGATAGAAAAAGGCATTACTTGTTACTATTATTTCTTCTTCTTCTTTTCTTTTTTAATTTATTCCTTTAGTGTTTCTTTGTCAGTATGATTCTCCCAAGTACTAAAAAAGCTGAGCTAGCTAGCTAGCTTTCCTTAATTTCTTTGTCCACTTGTTATGATATCTTATTCTTTACTATGTCTTAGATTTCTAGATCTGTGTGTAGTTTGTTTAATCTTTAATCAGAATTAGGGCTCTTAATATGTGTTCTTTTCTCTGAATTTTTGGGGTTAATTGTCAATTAATTAGGAGAGTGGAGAACTGGACAAGCCCATGGAAGATCATGAGATGGGGTCTAATGCATGCCCAAGGTCAGCTTTAGAGAAAAGGGCAAGGCCTCAAGAGCAATTGAATTGTCCAAGGTGCAATTCAACCAACACCAAGTTTTGTTACTACAACAACTACAGCCTCACTCAACCAAGGTACTTTTGCAAGACATGCAGAAGGTATTGGACTGAAGGTGGAACTCTCAGAAATGTCCCAGTCGGAGGAGGTTCAAGAAAGAACAAGAAATCCACATCATCATCTGCATCATCATCAGCTTCACTATTATCAAAGAATAATATTCCTGATCTCAACCCACCAAGTAGCCTCTCACACTTTTCAGCTCATCAAAACCCTAGGAGCACCCATGAAGGCCAAGATCTTAATCTGGCTTTCAATGCCATGGAGCATTACCAACAAAACCCAGCAGCTGGAGCTAGCACTTCCACATCAGCTCCTCTTTCAGCCATGGAGCTGCTTAGGACTGGCATTGCTTCCAGAGGTGTGAATTCATTTATACCAACCCAGAATATGGCTGATCATTCAAATACTCTCTATGCATCATCACCTGGGTTCTCCTTGCAAGAATTCAAACCAAACCTTGGTTTCTGTGTTGATGGGCTTGGAAATAGGTATGGCGATCATGAGATTAATGGTGGGAGGCTCTTGTTTCCATTTGGGGACTTGAAACAGATTTCAAGCTCTACAGCCCATCATGAACTCGATCATCATCAGAATAAGGGGCAAGGCAATCCAACTGGTTATTGGAATGGTTTATTGGGTGGAGGCTCGTGGTGATGGTGATTAAATAAGTTAATGATCAGAAGAGAGAAAAAGACAAGACAGAAAGAAAGAAAGAAAGAATTAAAGTGTATTTTTCACTTTTGATTTCTTTGTTTTTCTTTTAAGTTGGCTTACTTATTTTGCAGACTAACAGATATGGTTTCTTTTGTTATATATATTCCTCTATTTACTTATTTGGGCTTGGCTTTAGAAGAGGGTTTTGTAAATCCAGTATTTGATCTAGTAGGGATTAGAAGAAGAAATGAATGTAAGGCATGCAACATGGCCTGCATTCATACATTCTTCTATCAAATCTAGGGCATATGCATCTGATAAATGCACTTGTTGTATGTTTTTATAGACTTGGTGATCTCATTTGTGTGTGGATCTTAGTGAATGTATTAGCGGATTAGTTGCTCATTTGCTCTTGCCCTTTTTTGTCAATAGATTGAATTAAACTTTGCTCTGATTTTCCTCTCTATCTCTCTCCCATTCACACAAGAAAAACTCGTTTGAGACTGTTATTATAGTATCGTGTTGCATTTTAGTGTTGAGCGACAAAACAACCTAGTTAACAGCATGATATATAACCAAAATCAATAATATCTTTTATTTCTTAAACACATATTATTCGATTATTTTATGTCTAATTACCGAGTGACAAAAACAAGCACTTCTCCACTCCAATACAAGAAAACCTTAGTTGCAAACTGTTTCGCTATACCTGGTCAATAATGTTATGTCAAGTGAAAGTGTTATCATGTATATTATAGCGTTATTAGTTGGAGAATAGTTCTATCTCCGTGGCTTGGAAGTCTTTCTCCTCGAATACACAAAAATAAAGCAGGTATGAACCTGACATGTCAGGCTTGACGTCTTATCTGTTACATAACTGAGATTCTTCCAGCTATGAAAGGCATTTCGTTATAGAACAAATTGGGCACCTAAATGATGAAGGCCCCCACCTTTAAATATAGTCTTAAACTCTTAACAAAAATAAAAATAAAAATAAAAATAAAAATATTTAATATATAAATATGACACACATTATATAATTATGGTTTCAATACTTGTTCCATTAACAATCAAAATCACTAATATAAGATTATTAAAAAAAAGTATTAGAAGGGGGCACTAGTGGTGGTAGACCCAATGCACATTCTTTTACACATAACACCACCAAACTAACAAGCAATTATAATATATACATGAAAAATTAACAATTAATTACCTGCCCCAACCAAAAGCAAACCTAATAATTTTCGACACCCGTTCGCTGATCAGTTTTAGAAGACTCCTTCCATCCATGAAAGATCATAATTAACTTGCATGCCTTCTTTTTCATAAAAATAATATAAATACCCTACTGATGAAATCACCAGGAAAATTCCACGAGGACCCCACCGTCCTCTGTTTGGTTTTGGCTTTAGGGTACGTGAATGGGACCCACCAAACATTCCTCTTGTTTAGTGGGGTCCGGGGGAAAGCGTGTTGATAAACTATTTTCTCCACCAACTCAATCCATTTCACATTTCACATATGGATTAGATAGATATTATGCTGTGTCCATCTCTTATTTGGCATTTTCTTATGTAATTTTGATGGGTTTTGATTCTTTTTTAGGTAAACATTGGTTATAGTGATAATTGTGTTTCATTGTAGACTAAGTAGAGAAAGAAGGTTCACCACCCTATGACCCTAAATGATGCATTAAGTCAATCCACACACCCTATGAAATGAAGAAGCTTAGGTTTTTAGGGCTCTCTCTCTCTCTCTCTCTCTCTCTCTCTCTCTCTCTCTCTCTCTCTCTCTCTCTCTCTCTAGGCTCATGTCCTGTCCCTTGAATAGCTTTATAATATGTATATAAATGGAGGTGTGGTGTGGACCACATAAAATATTAGTTGCATTCACTTTAACAATTGTACTGAACAACAACGAGGGCTTATAGGGGCTGCGCAACCTTAGCTTGACCTAGAATTCCAAGTTAGAAACACATTAATATTGAGCAAGAAGGAATTGCAGTGGTTGAACTAATATATATATGTATCTCTTTAATTACAACTAGTCTAGCTAGATGGCTTAGGCAAACCACACACACTTGCTGCTTCCTCATTATAAAGTCGACAATTATATATTGTTACTACTAGTACTACATAGAGTTAGATAAAGCCGAGTGATTGGCTAGTTCTATGTATCGACAATACCAAATACTGTAATCATTTTGGAAACAATTGATATAAGATCAATCGATTACTGCTCAGGACTACCGTATTCAACAAGTCAAACATTGATTGACTGTGATTGATCATTGTATCACTCATTTCTTTCTGGTTTATTTTAATCTATAACCCTTTAATAACTTATAAAGTACGTACTTAGCTGCATAACCATGTTGACAGCTGCTCTCGAGATCAGCTTTACAAGTACACAATATTAAGTTTTGCCTCCTTCAATTCTGAAAACTGGTAACTTTTCATTTTCGGGATCTGGAAGATTAGATTCTTGTGTGTGGGTAGGAAAACAACCAGCTAAATGCTAACACATGCAATGCAACGCTCGGAAAAGAAAAATAAAGGCCCTGATCCAAACATGAACTTTCCGATCATAGTCATTACACAGATGAAAGATGTCATTGAGCTGCCCAGTTGTACTTAGCGCATCCTACACAACATAAGAAATTAATAAACCCAAAATTATGACACAAAACCTACACCGTGCATTATCGCGGTCAAGCCGTCGAATCTGTATCTACACAATATTGTTCTGTTTCAGGCATAAACTCTGTTTCGAGGGTGGAAATGATAATCAAACAGATGGGAATTAGGAAGAGAGGCGTCAAAATATGGGACATATGCTCATATAGCACCGTGAATCTCAAGATACATAAAATTTCTCTACTGTACAAAGATAACTCAATACAATTATTCTTTACTGGGAGGCAGCTTGAAAAGCCGTAAGAACAAAAACACATTATATTTTTGAATATCCCTCCAGTTCCAACTTCTATACAACGATATAGCTCTTCCTCAGAACAATATGTGATTTCTGAACATGTCAACCTTACGCCCAACTCACTTATCTCCATTGATTCCGAAGATCCGGACTTTGTGCATATTGGGGAATTTGGCAATAACTAGCACAATGACTGCAAGACTGTTGAAAAAGAGCATCGGGTGCTGGTAGTCAGTTGTGTGTGAGGCTATCAAGTACCTGACAGGAAAGCAGAAAAGGAAATCAGAACAACATGGTTTTTGGTTCAATATAACTTTTCAAAACAAGATCGTCGCAGAATTATCATTTTCAGGACTGGTATTGCTCAGCTGACAAAACCATACATGCACTTCACCTAGCATGGCCTGAGTTTGCAAAGCAAGTTCATACAAATCATATCATAAGCAGCACTGTCAACAAAGACAGTACTGCTTCAGAAGTTTTGATATATTACCAATGTCTTATGTAACAATTTATTCAACAAAAACATGGACCAAGAACAATTGACCCCCTCATACAATAAACTACGTAGATCTAATCTGGCATCGTTTTCTCAACTGTGGGATGACTGCTCATTCCATGCCATCCATCCATGTCCAATAAAGAAGCCTCATTCCTGGTTCGCACCATGGGTTGGGGTTCTAACAAACTCCACCCTCATACTTTAGTTGGGTAGCCAATCAAGGACATGCTAGTTGTAGAAAAATCCAACACATCTCAAAGCCATACCAAATTCACGATGTGTTCAGCATGAATACCAAAAAAAATTGATGTGAAAACAGGCACTAAGCTCATTCTGAAGCATCCACATAGAGCATAGTACAGGTTGAAAGTTGATATCAAGACAAGAGGATACAACGGAACTCATACTAAGGATTCTGAGTAAATAAACTGCTCCATGGGCATGCATGCATCTAAAATTGAGGTATCATACTCTTACATAAACAAATAAATATAACAGATTCTACTAAAATCTGGGTGTACATTGCAGGCATTAACATGGAACACTGATATGAGGTGTCCACTATGGCATCCACCAAAAAACAAACTGTGATATTTAGAGAGAGAAAAATATTGCCTGAACTGGTAGTAGATTGTTGTAAACTAAAGAAACTCAACCAAAGCAATAACCAGAATCAGAAAATTTTAAATTTCTAAATATACTAAAAATCTATCATAAATTTATCATATTTTAAAAAATTGAGTAGGTAACCAGGTGTCCTCGTTGTTGCCATTGGCCACCTAAATGAATCTGATACAGAGTTCCAACCCAAATACAGACTTAGTTTTAAACTGGACCCTTTTTGAATAAGCTGAACAATCCACCAAACCTTTTTGGTGTAGAATGTTTTGGAATGTTGAACAAATATGTGCGCAAGCAATAAATACATGCTTGTAAAGGTTTGACAAAGGGCTTGTGGACACACACACACAGAGAGATCAGAGGTAGGCAGGTTAAGATAAATAAAATCATGAACAGCCAAAAGGTTCAATTATATTTAAATTTAGTGTCAAAACTAAGAAATGCTTTTTTCATAGCACATAAATTAACTTACAGCACCACAGGAACAACGGTTAAGAACTTCCTGTTGCGGGTGAGCTGCTTTCCACTATCCATCTGCTCCCACCAAGTAAGTCCATTGTAGATCCCCTGATCTTCAGCGAAGGGAGTTCCTTTCTTCCAGTGGAAGAAGTGATAAGTGACCTAAAGAAGAATCAGACTCCTCAAATATGGTAGATGGAATTATGAATGGAACTAACCTAGAGTTAAAAGTTAAAACTTACAAAGCAGAAGACTGAATACAATACTTAAGATTCAAACATTATATAAGCAAAGGCTACTTGGCCCAAAGCCTCAGATAAAAAAATAAGGGACAATTAGGGAAAACCTGTTCAATGACTATACACGGAATAATAATATGAAAACTGGGGAAAGAAAAAGAGACCTCAAAGTAGTTTATAATAAAGTATACAATTCTAAATAAAAGTGCAGTCTTGTGCAGTAATTGGATATGGAACAAGGCTGTCTCATCCAATCCAATCCCTATTTATATTAGAAGAACAGTGATAACATAAGACCACAAAATCAGAGGATTCCTATAAGGACATCTAAAACTTGCCTCATTCCTGAACTCCCAAGTCCCAGAAAAGAGGATGTAATGAGTACTGTCAGAAAAGGGAACAAGAACAGTATCCCTTAAGAGCAAGAATGTCAATGCCACAACCAGTAAACAAAATTTTGGACAAGGAAATATGACGGAGCAGATAACTAGGCAACGATTGGAATTCTTTCATGCTTGTCTTCCAAAACTAAACTCCTAACTGAGTCTCATAACACTGCTTAGCTCAATAACGTAAAATTTGCATTTTTAACCAAAATTGAGAACAAAATGCAATATTCAAATGTAAATCTCTACTTTCCATAAACCCAAATTGTTTAGCTCAGATGCAACATACCCAACATCCAGCTCATGCTTACAGAATAGAAAATTAAGCAAATTCTACCTTAAAACAAGAATTTTACGAACTAGGTTACAATACTTCACATGAAACAAATAGCTAAAACATTGAAAAGCCCCCATTCAACATCCAAATACATAACCCATCTAGAATTATCAAAGCTGCACCTAATTACATATATGGAAACAGAAAATATCATTGAGCTAAATAATTACATGGGTTTCATAGAAAATTTAACTACATGTTATTACTTGGATTATGCATGCATCAAATCAAACAGCCTTTAATAAACAAATATAGAAAATTTTGCAAACCCAATTGAACAAAATAATCAATCAAAGCCAGTAAGCCACACCTACAAACAATCAATTACATAAAGAGAGAGAGAGAGATATATATATAGAGACAGAAACATACCAAAAAATGAGAGAGATTAACTATGGTCCAAGCCATGCCAGGAGAGCAGCCAAAGATTGAGAGCACAAGGAGCCAAGAGAAAAAGAGGATGAGAATATAGGTGGTCCAAACACCAGGGTACATGAACCACTCTGTGTTCCTATTCAGATCCGCA